CTGAGAAGTCTCCTTTTTTGCAATCTTTGTTTCTGCAAAGGTAGTTATCACTGCACCTGCTGTCATCCTCATGAACTCCCAAGCACTTTTTGCATGCTCCTAGTTTCCTGATGATAGATTTCTTCTCTGTCAGCTTCAAGTCTTTAAATTTTCTGCAGAAGAAAATCCTGTCTCTATGTTTCTCTGCCCCACACACGATGCAACCAGCTTCTGTGGAGTCTTTCTTTGTCGTTCTAGTGAAAGCGTAATTCTTCTCAAATTTTCTTTCTGGCTTTTCCACTCTTTCTGAGATCCTAAGTTGTTCCAGCCTTTCAAGCACTTCTTCCTGTTTCTGAAGGAATTGTAACAGCTCATCAAAGTGTTTGTCTGGTGTGATGTTATTTGCAGGATCTGTCATATATACGAGCCATTCTCTTTTCAAGAGTTCAGGTAACTTGCTTTCGATGGATTTTATCACAAGAGGATTCTTCATTGCTCCAACGTTTCCAAGATCTGTGAGATCAGCCAAGGCTTTTTCCACCATTTGGATTAATTCTATTACCCTTCTTGGTTGGTTTCCTCTCAAAGCTGGCATTTTCTCTAGTTCCTCTACAATTTCCATGGCAATTGTAATTTTGTTACCGTATCGGTTGTCTAACACCCTGAATATGTCATCAGCAGTGTTGTAGGAAGACAATCTGAGCTCTTTTGCGATTCTGTCATCCACGCTATCCACTAACTGAATCTTTTTCACTTCAACAGACCCAGTGGGCTCACCTTGCTTCTGGAGATTTTCCCAGTCTCTCTTCCAACGATAGTAATCTCTCTTATTACCAGTGAATTTAGGTAGACTTGTTGGTTTAATTTTTACCACTGGCATGATCTGTCCTGCAGGTACCATTATGTTTGGATTGTTTGTCATACTCGTGTCTAATGCTTGTGTATCTTCAGCAGCTCTTCGGGCCCAAGCGAATTCAGCTTTTCTTGATTCAAGCTCATTGCTACACTCTTTCAGTTTGCGAACATGACTTTCAAGATCCTTTCTCTCAGGTGCTGGAATCCATCTTTCCCATTTTAGCAAAGTTACAGTTGCCTCTTTCACCAGTCTCATCGAGAGCTCCAGTTGCACTTCATAACTTTCATATCCAGTGCCATCAACAGGCATAGCGGCTGTGCGATCGCAGGCTTTTTCAGCTGCTGAAATTGTGGTTAACACATCACTTTGTCCATATCTTTGCCAGAGATTATCTTGTACTATCTCAGTTACTTCGTCAAACTTTGCATTACATTCTTCCACAGCTTTCTTAAAGTCAGCTTCTTGCTGTGCTGAAAGTTGTACCTCTGCACCATCTTCTGTAGCTTCAATCTCTGCTATTAATCCAGCTTTATAGTCATCATTAGTTTCAAACACTTTTCTTGCTCCAGAAGAAAGCTTTTTAAATTCTTCTTTTAGCTCTGATTCTATAAGTCGGTGTGCTTCTCTACAGAGAAAGTTAGCTTGTTTGGTAAAGCTACTTTTTGCAGTGGTTCTTTCCTTTTTTAGCTGTTTAACTGATTTTCCTAATGCTTCCTCAGCCATTTTCCTTGAATTTTTCTTTCACTTGGTGTCAGCAGAACTTTGTCTTCGGACGTCACAAAGCCGTTGATCTTTATGTCCAGCTGCTACACTCTTGGTTATCAACTGTCGAGTTCTTATGGGTTTCACACACCAGTATCTGCTTCTAACTCGAAAGAGCTTCAGCCAATAACAGGGGACACAGGGAACAACTCCAAGGCTTTTTCTGCTTTTGTATTTTAACTTTCAGTTTGCCCAATAATACAATACTGTAGCGCTTGAACAGTAGTAGCGATAACAGTAGCAGCGATAGCAATAGGTTGATAACCTTAGAAAAGGAACAAAATATATAAAATATACATTATTCGCAATACTGACTTAAACAAACACAATGTAATATAAATAAAGACAGTTCCTTCACAAATTTTGTCTCAGCATTATTAATTTGCATATTAAAATAATACTTCTTAATATTAATGCAAGCATTTCACTTTACATAAACTATTTACATAAATGAACAGCATGATTAACTTAATATTGTGCACAAAGTATTATAATGCACAAAATAATGAACTACAGCGCAACAAAATAGTAGCTGTCTTTTATATTGCACATATATTATGAATAAGGCAATGCATGTGGCAGTCCTTGTAATTAGAAATAGTCAATTCTCATACCATCAGTGTCCCTGAGATGACCAAGTGCTGATGTGCCTTCCCTTCCTTACACACTGCAGCTTAAAACTTTCTGCATGCAATCGTGAAAGTTTATTAATGCAGCGATCGCGTTCTTCAGCTTTCACAGCGCGTCTGCATGCATGCACTTGCCATGTGAGTTTTTTTTCTTTCCGCATTCACTCGGCACTTCCCGTATCTCCTCGGCACTTCCCGTATCTCCTCGGCAAGTTCCGTATCTCCTCGGCAAGCTCCGTCAGCCAATTGCTTCCGCCAAACACTTTCAGTTTCGTTAGTTCCGCCTAATTCCTCCATGCATTGATTCGTATGAAGTCCAAATTCGCGATTTGACTTTACAATGTGAATGTGAAAGACTGCCTTTAACTGAGCCTATATCAGCGTCTGTGGCTGGACAACAACTGAAACACAGATTTCTGTTACCAGACAGAGCCCTATAGACTTATTGGGCAGAGACTTGTGAATAAAAGTGGGTGCATCAATTCTGTGCTGTGCTGATGGTGTCATTGTAAGATTTCCCACAGGCCTCACCAAGAACTGTTCATTAAACACACCTGGCATGGAAGGACAGTGGCTACTGTCATCTGCATAAGAACCTGAGGAAGCTGACAAATACTGGATCAAACTGTAACCAGATACCCCACAAAGAGAGGGCCAGCTCTCGCTCTATGCCTTATGGAAATCTTGGGTAACCCTTATTGCACCATACATGCCTTTCAGCGACCTAACACACATGACTTTATTCTATAACAGAAACCAAACCAAATGGGATCAAGAAACTTTTTAAAGTAAATTGGAAGACTATGATTGGCAAATTGGGTGAAAGGGAATTTGGGTGGAAAAAGAAGGAGTAGTAGGGGCAATTTACTTGGCTAAAGAAAATAGATAGTAGTATATGAAGGGTCCAGAAGCAGAACCACATGTCAAATTGACCATACATCTAGAGCACCAAGCTAAGGATTCAGGGCCAATGATAAAAGGATTGTCTAAATTGACAGATTAGGTTGCCACCAAAATACCAAATGTATTTTATCCACCATCAGATAAAACATATCTAATTGATACGTCTACAGTAGATAGCATGATCATGAAACACATATAAGCCATGGTTGTCATGGAAGGGACAGAACAGATCATGAGCTGACAGTACCAATGTTAAACCGTTTACCAGGCCAATTATGGTCCACGGGACCAACAGATGTGTATTTTTGTTCCTTGGCGTCAGACAATTGAATTGACTGAAAATAGGCTGATTGGACAGCCACACTATTCTTACAAGCCACAAGGTGAGACAGTCATTGCAGACACAATAGAAGAATTGATAACAGTAGGTGTGTTAGAGCCATCAAACTCACAACAGAATTTTACTCCAAATTTATCTGTAGAAAAACAAAATACAGGAAACTACAGGATGGCTCATGGAAAAAAAAGGTTAACACTATAGTGCAGACAGCCACATTGCCAATGCCAAAATCCATACACTGCACTATAAGCATTGAGTCCAGAACATGAGTGGTTCACCCATATAGATTTAGCTAATTCATTTTTCTGTTTACCACTGGCACCAAAATTGAGGGACATATTTTCATTTACCTTTAGGGGGCAGCAATACAGGTACACAAGGGTACCTCTAAGTTTCATATTGTCTCCAGGGTTGTTCAATCACACCCTGAGAGCTCTACTGAGCGATTGACCTTTGCCAGAGAGAGTGGTGTTGATCCAATATTTGGATGACAATTTACTAGCTGCAAAAACAGATGACACCAGTTTGAATGTGACTAAGCAGGAGTAATTATAAATATTTCAAAGTAAGTAAATCAAAATTACAAGTGTGTAGGCCACAGGTCACATTGATGGGACGAGTAGTGTCTGGACTGGGCATGGGAATATCGCCCAACCACCGATCAGTTATTTTGAAGAACAAAAAACGATGACTATAAAAGATATGCTGTCATTTTTGGGCCTGGCTTGTGTTCAGTAGACACCTCATAGCACAATTCATTGATAGAACAACACCATTAAGACAACTAGTGTAGGAAAAGGGAGCTGGACAGTTGAATGCTACACTAGATTGGACAACAGAAACAGAGAAGCAGTTCAGCAGCCAGTGCAGTTGATTTGGCTAATCTTGATTATTGGCTTCCTTTCTATTAAGATGTGTCAGAAACAGAAAAGACAGTGGAAAAGTATTGTTTGAGTAAAAAAAAGGAAAAAGATGGTTTTGATGCATCTTAGCTTTTTAATGGACAAGGCAGAACAATGCCAGCTTCCATCTACAAGATTTGCAGCAAAGTTAGAAAAGATAATTCAGAAAACAGCACATCTGATCATGGGACATAAAGTCAAAATGTTGACATCACACTCAGAGAAGGCATACGTAAATTCTATTGCAGTAACAATGTCATTGCTAAGACAGAATAGATTGTTGAAAGTGTTGAGTGCACCAACAAACCTAATTTTCACACATGAAGGCATCAACATGGCTGACTATATGGTTGAGAGGGAGAGCCACACAATTGCGAAGAGTTAGTCTTGGGGGATAGTAAGCTGAGACCAGATTTAAGAGCAGCAGTGGCACTGACAGGTGAGGTAGAAACTTGCAAACGGATGAGTATTGTTATAGGGATTCTGAAGTAGAATTGAAAGCAGGCTATGCAGACAAAAATCGGCACAGACCAAATTAAATTAGGTAAAGGCCTTACCAATTGAATGTATGGGTATTAAATCATCACTGAATAAAACAATGAGTTTTACACGTTTTGAATTGTTGACAGGTCATCATTATCCAGAACCAGGAGCAGCCTTGACGTGCACTGACAGTGCACCGCTGATGAACAAGCCATATTATGACAAATTAACAGCTTTACTCTCAGATTTTTCTGAACAGATTTTTGTGAAATGCCTGGAGGGGGCCTAAGAAAAAGTGGTCCCTACATCTGAATAGGTGTTGCTGAAGGTATTCAAGTGAAAGTGGGAGGAGCCAAGGTGGATTGGTCTATAAAGAGTGACAGAGAACATCACACAGACTGAGGTTACAGGTTAAAGGTGATACATGATAGTAATGGAATGTTTATGTTTTAAACAGATTCACCAAACTGGCAGCTAAGGAGTACAGATGGCGGCCATGAGTAAAATCAAGGCCGAGAGGGGGAGTGCGTAGCAAAGAACAACATAAACAAATGATTGACCCGCTGCCCTCATGACAAGAGGGGACGTCTGACTAAATAGGGAGTGCAAGCATGTATTGGGGTAGGAGCTAAACACGCAGTAACCTCGATACATGGGAGCAACCTGATAGTAGTGCAGGCCTACGGATGACAACGAGGAAGTGTGCTATCACAAAAGAGGGACAAAGAACAGTGTTCTGTTTGATCACAAAAGAGAAAGTCACTGATTTACCAACAGATGACAATTTGACCAGAACATTTGAGGTTTTGATTTTCATTTTAATCAATGTCTTGATTCTACCCATAATGCTACAACTTTTAATTTCATTGTAAAAAGTTTGGACCTTAGCTCTCAATGATATTATGGTACTTTTGAATTTTTCATTGGAGCATATTTTTTTACGGGTTTGGATTCCCTTTTTGATTGTAATCAAATTTTTAAAGCTTGAAAATTTTAATTTGAATTATATTGATAACTAAAAATAACTGAATAAAATAAATAATCATACCTCTTATGATAAAGTGCATAAGGTAGGAAAATGAAATTGTGAAATAATTGGAAGTTAATGGGAGTGTTTGGCAAAACAACCCTGAATATAGTGGGCATAATTTTTAGGATAAGAAATGATTAGAATGAAGCCATGGAGTAGAGAGACTCCACCACTCAATAAGAGAACTAGGGGTGAACAGATTGTTGAGTGAATCCAACAGATAGGGAATTGAGTTAAAAGGGTTTATGGGCATTTTCTAATATAATGAAAGAGCACTATGTAAACAACAAGGTGTAAGCAACCATTTTGGAAAAATGGGTAAAGGATTGTATTTGGCAAATATTTGTAATAATGTTAATTGATTTTTATTTTTTATTTTTCTTTACGTTTAGATTTTGGTTATCTGTGGTTGTGAGCTCCTTTAGAGGAGCTCAAAAGAGGGATTTTGTTAGAAATTTATTACTTATTAATTGTAGCTCTTTCATTTCTTTCTATGAATGTAGCTGTGTTATGCCAATGTATGTTATATAGTTGTGTCATGTTTATGCATGTAATTTAGCTGTGTCATGTTCATGTATGTACGTCAAGAGGGGCCAGGGTCTGTGGTGCCAAGGCCAGATAATACAGAACGTAAAGGACCACACCCGGCCAATTCCTAGAACACCAGTTGTTTACACATGTGTATAAAAGTGGTTGGAAGGAAAGAGTTGTTGTTGAAGATGGCCTGAACATACGTGAGGGACACCTCCAACCCGGAGCTCTGTATCTATTGAATTATTCAAATGTATTCATTAAATGGCTAATACTTTTGCATTGAAGAAAAACCTCTCCTGACTCTCATTGAACACGCAGGGAAATAGTTAATGACATCAAAAAATCCCAACATAATGTGTATAATTACATAAATAACTTGTATAATTACAGTTATAACATGTATAATTACAGTAATAACCTGTATAACTACCATAATAATGTGTATAATTACATAAATAACTTGTATAATTACAGTTATAACATGTATAATTACAGTAATAACCTGTATAAATACCATAATAACTTGTATAATTACATAAATAACTTGTATAATTACAGTTATAACATGTATAATTACAGTAATAACCTGTATAAATACCATAATAACTTGTATAATTACATAAATAACTTGTATAATTACAGTTATAACATGTATAATTACAGTAATAACCTGTATAAATACCATAATAACTTGTATAATTACATAAATAACTTGTATAATTACAGTTATAACATGTATAATTACAGTAATAACCTGTAACTGTAAAACAGAAAACTACTGTTTTTAAACAGTGTATCTACATCTTTCATTCTAACAGTTTTTTTCTGTATTTTTACAGTTTAACCGTTTTTTTACAGGGATTTTTTTACAGTATGTGAGAGAGAGAGAGAGAGAGAGAGAGAGGGTGTGTGTGTGCATGTGTTCACTGCTGTGTGTGTGAGCGTGGGAGAGAGAGGAAGTGTGTGTGTGTGTGAAAGAGAGAAAGAGAGAGGGGGGTGTGTGTGCATGTGGTCACTGCTGTGTGTGTGTGTGAGTGTGTGTGTGTGTGTGTGTGTAAGAGAGAGAGAGTGAGTGTGTGTGTCTGTGCGTGTGATAGAGATAGAAGGGAAAGTGTGTGTGTGTGTGTGTGTGTGTGTGTGTGTGTGTGTGTGTGTGTGTGTCTGGTTGTGAGTGTGTGCATGTGTGTGTGTGTAGTCCTACATTTGCGTGGTCCTGCTGTAATCCTCGTCTCTCCTCCATAATCCAGACTGTAAACACACACAGATTCACATTCAGTCAGTACACAAACATCAGCTTAAAACACACACACACACACACACACACACACACACACACACACACACACACAGACAGACAGACAGACAGACACACACACACACACACACACACACACACACACACACACACACACACACACACACACAAACACACACACACACACACACTTGCTGAAACTGTACAGTGTTAATATGAGATATAATATCACGCTTAATGTGAGAACTGCCCCAGTGCACTGACATATTTAACAGCTTTGATTCATATCTGGACACTAGAAGAGCAGTGAAGTATCAAAGTATCTGTATTCACAATTAAAAAGGCAGTGCTGCTCCACATACTTGAGTTTGTCCAGTGTGTAGTTTGGATCCTCCAGTTGTTCAGAGAGCAGCTTGACTCCTGAATCTCCTGGATGATTGTAGCTCAGATCCAGCTCTCTCAGGTGTGAGGGGTTTGAAGTCAGAGCTGAAGACAGAAAACCACAGCCTTCCTCTGTCACCATACAGCCAGACAATCTACAAACACAGCAATAGTCCACATCACACAGTTGGACAATCACACATCTCTTTGTGTTGTGAAGATGCTGACTGCTGTTTCTGCTTATTGATCGAGCCCTCGCATCAGCAAACACACTCACACACTCAACAAGGACTCGACATCATCTGTAGAGGTGTACAGAGTAAAGACATTGTTCATAATACACCATATCAAGCTGTAAAGTCTGCTTTGAGGAATAAGACACATTTGACCTCAAAAGGAAATCTTGAAGTATAAAGTGTAATTGAAAATGAGCTGATTTTCATTATTTATCTTTAGATCATATTTAGATGATATTGTGGACAATACTGTAAATAAACTAAACACACACAAACTCAATCTCTTGGTGTCTTTGTCTCTTGTCTGACAGTCACTAGAGCTGTAGTCAATCCACCTTTGAGTCCAAACATATAAACATATAAAATATGAGTACAGAACTTAGAGGCAACTCATCTACACTGCAAAAAATGCTTTTCTTGCTTAGATTTTTTGTCTTGTTTCTAATCTAAATATCTCAAAAGAAGGTAATGATTCGCACTCAATTGCTTCGTACTGTTTTTATTTATACTTTTTCTTACATTTTACGGGTGATAACAGACAAACAGACGTTTCGGCACAAAGCCTACTCAGTGTGTAGTCTAAATATCTAAAATTTCTTTTTTAGGTTTCTGTAACTCTTTTTGTAGTTGCTGTTGAGTGGAGAATCATTTACCTCAGTGTGTCCAGTTTACAGTGTTGACTCTTCAGTCCATCAGAGAGAAGCTTCACTCCTGAATCCTGCAGGTCATTGTTACTCAGGTCCAGCTCTCTCAGCACACAGTTTGAGGATTGTAGAGCTGAAGACAAACTCTCACAGCACTGAACAGTGAGATTACAGCTCTGTAGCCTGTGTAGAGGATAAACACAATATTGATGTTGAGTTTGATATGTACGGCACTTTACAGTGTTGTATGTGGAGCTGAACGAGCCCACCAATCACGGTGGGGTATATGGCTCTCGGGGGCGGGACATCAGCTGAACTTGATGCAGGCAGAAAAACATTTTCCAATGAGTGAAAGTTACAGCAGCGTTGCCATGGAGTGTTTTCCTCTGTGCCTGCTGGCTGCCTTGTTTCTATTGGGCACATGCGGACATTCGTCCCAGCACGCTTCATTCACAACACTTAAAAAAGTTGTGTAAGCTGCCGGCCAGCAGGACTATATATATATAATATATATATATATAAAAATCAGTGCGATTACTAAGAGCGTTGGCAACAAATTTCATAATCGATTCGTTGTGTTGCACAACACGGTAACACTTGATTATTAAAAAAACACTTGCATGGAGCGGAGCAAACACCGTCTCTCTCGCTCACTGATACAGAGTTCAGCGCTTATAGACAGGGATGAGGAGGAAGGGAGTTCAACAGCAGGTGTGTTGGCTGGTGCTGAGCCAGAGAAAGACGCGTCATATCATTACAGTTATGCAGCGTTTTAACCGCCTAATGCTTATTTTATGTTTTAGATAAACATTTTCTGCTTTGCTACTGTTCGGACGTCTTTGCCCACTGCTCCGCTCTTCGCACTCTTGCTTTTATATCTTATACCCTAATTTTAACTTGAGCCTATCAGCACAGTGCTCAAACAACACGGCTTGAAGATCAGCATCGATTCTACAAACTTTCTGGAATATAGCTTTACTAACAATAAAGGAATTACCGTCTAAACAATCCTCCCGCTACCAGCTGCTTACATTCCGGAGACGGGAAGACACGGCTGTGAAAATGCCTCTGGATCGGATTAATTCAGATTCTCACTGCTGTGCAAACTGCCACAAACTTCTACAAAAGATTGCAGTTCTTGAAACGAAGTTGCTTGCGATCCGACCAGAACTTCAGCTTCATTGTGGATTCTCTCAGCACACAGCCGGTGAGTCCCATAAATCTGTTCCTGCTTGTTTTGAGCACAGAAAAACAGAAAAGAACTGTTGAAAATGAGCATTGGCATAAACAAGGTGCGAGACCAAAGGGTACTCGTGGGGTCAGATCATACGCTGCCGCATTAGCATTTTCTACCCCAAATACAGCTCAGACTCAAATACAGCTTCAGAACAGATATGAAGTTTTGAGTAATATGGGTGAAGAATCCCCAAATGCAGTCAGACAGAGATCGCATGATTCAGCAACTAATTCTGCATGGAACAGAGGCTCAAGGCCGACTAGACAGCGGCATTCTGCTCCGATCACACCGGAGATAAGAACACTAGTCGTAGGAGATTCAATAATCAAGAATTTCAGGAGCAAATCTACAATGACATACTGCTTTCCTCATGCAACAGTTTCTGATGTAAACAAAGAACTTGAGGAAATTCTGAAAAAGCACAAGACTGCAAAACGGATTATCATCCATGTGGGGAAGAATGATATTCGGAAGGAACAGTCAGAACTGCTCAAGAAAGATTTCTGTGAGCTCTTGGAAACAGCTCAAAGATTGAAGGTTCAGCCATTCATAAGTGGACCACTCCCTGCAAGAGGGACAAATATGTTTTCACGGCTTCTTGGTCTAAATGTATGGCTACAGAAAACATGTAACAAGAAAGGACTGAATTTCATCGACAACTTCAATCTCTTCTGGAACCAAAGACAGCTGTTTACATCAGACGGCCTTCATCCAAACAAACTTGGTGCAAAGGTGCTAAAGGACAATATTTTTTTCTCCCTCAATCATCCATCAGCTGTGTATGCCACTGAACTGAATTGTACACACACACCTAACAAATGTCCGGATGACCACAGGACCTCAAATTAGCTCCTGAGTGGACTTGTGGCTGACGAATCACCCAAGGACAGTGATAATGCCATGCAGCCAAAACACCCAATGTTGATAGAGACACTATCAGTTGCCCTCTGCTCAACACAGGCAGACTGTGACGCATCAGAACAGCATCAAGTCTCGTCACTCAAAAATGATCCTCAGGAAAACATATTTCTGCAGACAGAATCTCCAGATGCACAGCCTCTGTCGCCGGACACGTTCTCATTGTCACAATGTTCACCACTCTTGGGTTTTTCAAAAAAGATGGAGGAACTGGTGTATGCTGGAACTAAACTTTCACACTCCATTGCCGCAAGCCCCCAGTTACCAACCAAAAAGCGGCCTGCTCCACAACCACCTATGAGCCCACCTGGAAGAGCCCTCCGATCACACCGCCAGGGCCCAAACAACAACGCCCCATCTTCAGCTGGTGAACACAAGAGCTCTCTGTGATGTGTGTCGGGGACCTGCTTAGATAACAGTGTCTTTATCAAATGTTTTCAGAACAAGCAGGAACCCAGTGTGTCTGTAGCTTTCTCTAAGCAGATATGTGTTGTGTTAAGTGACAGAAAACCAAAGACTTCATCAGGCCGCTTAGCAAATCATTCAAATCTGGTGTCTATTAAATGTAGATCTGAGACTACTATAGAAAAAACAGCTAAAACTGTTAAGTTAGCGCTTT